GACAGTCTAGCCAGCTGGGGCCGATCTCAGCCACATGCTCGGGATCAGAACTTCGGCGCATGACACAGCAAGAGCCTAACATGTCTAGTCTATCCAGTTGACTGGTAGTGGTTTTGAGTTCTGCTGTGTCGAGGATTGTTATTTCTTGAAGAATTGATCCCTTTAATCATTATGCAATGCTTCTCTTTACCTTTGCAATTTTCTTTGCTCTGATGTTTGCTTTATTTAAAATTAAGAAAGGTACTCCTTTTGATTAGTGTTGGCATGGTAAGTCTTTCTGTTGGGTAAGTCTTTCTGTTGGGTCTTGTTTTTTGATGTACTCTGACAGTCTCTGTCTTTTAACAGATGTGCGATTGCTTACACTACTGAGTTTTACAGTGATTATTGATATTGTTGGATTAATATTTGCCATATTTGATAGTTTAATATTCAGTGCCCTTCTTTATTATTATTACTTTCCATTCTTTTTCTACCTTTTGTGGTTCAATTGAGCATGTTGTGTGAGTCATTTTCTTTCCTTTTCTAGCATATCAATCATGCCAAGAGTTTGCAATATACATTTATAACTAGTCCAAATCTATTTTCAAACAACACTATACATATTCTCAAGGAGTGCAAACACCTTAAAATAGCAAAATATTTCTAATTCCTCTTTTCTGACCCTTGTCATTGTTCACTGCTCTCATTCATTTCATTTATACGTAACATACACAAATAAAATACATATATAAGCATGCTTAATCAAATACATTGCTTTATTGTTTTGAGCAAAAAATTAGAAGTTTTTATTTTACTTTTACTTCTTTCTCTAATGCTCTTAGTTTCTTTATATAGATTTGAGAAAATGACCTATGTTATTTTCTTTCTCTCTGAAGAACTAACATTTCTTGACAGGTAAGTCTATTGACAACAAATTCCATGATAACATTTTTATTTTCCTTTCACTTTTGAAGGAAAATTTCCTCAGAATACACAATTATTGGTTGCTGTTGTCCCTGTTTTTTTCCTCTTAACACAAAACCATTTCACTCCTATATGTGAGCTCCCCATCCCACTGCTTTCAAGGTTTCTTTATCTTAGATTGTCTGCAGTTTGAATATAGTATATGTAGGTGGTGTGCATGTGTGTGTGTGTGTGTTCACTGATTTTGCTTGGTGTTCTCTGTATCTCCTAGATATGTTGTTTGACATCTAACATTAATTCAGGGAAAATTCTGTCATTGTTTCAAATATTTCTTTTTCTTTCTATTTTTGTCCTGCTAGCCCCATAACACGTGGTTACACCTTTTGTAGTTTTTCCACAGTCCCTGGATATTCTTTCTCCTTTTTTCACTCTTTCTTCTGTTTGAAATTCAGTTTTGGATGTTTCTATTGACATATCCTAAAGTTCAGAGATTCTTACATCAACTGAGTTCAGTTTACTAATAAGCTTGTTCTTTTTTTTTTTTGGTACCAGGATCGAACTTGGGACCTTGCGCTTGCGAGGCAGGCGCCGGAACCACTGAGCTAAATCCCCGGCCCTTTAAGCTTGTTCTTTTCATTCTTTATTTCTGCCATAGTATTTTTGATCCCTAGAATTTCTTTTTGACTCTTTATTAGATTTGAGTTCTCTGCTTTAAATACCCATCTGTTTTTTCTTTTCTATTTTTTTTTTGGTACCAGGGATCAAACTCAGGTCCTTCTGCTTGTGAGCCCATCTGTTTTTTCATGTTGTTAATGCTCTTAGCATGTTAATCATGGTTATTTTTAAACCCTTGTCTGACAATTCTGACATTCCTGTCATATTTGACTCTAATTCTTGCTCAGTCTCTTCAAACTGTGTTTGTACCTTTTAGTATGCCTTGTAATTTTTGGTTATAAGCTAGTGGTGAAAGAACCACAGCAAATAGGCTACTAATGTAGTGGTAATAGGTCATGGAAAAGAAACATTCTGTAGCCTTGGGACTAGAGCACATCCTTTAATGAGTCTGTGCCTCTGCCTGTGAACTTCATAAGTGTTTCCCAGATTGTCTCCTTTTTATGTGGGACAAGATGGCTAGAGGGGGCTGGATTTAGGTATTTTCTTTCTTTTAGTTCAGTTAAGACTCTGATAAAACCCCAATAGGTCAGGCTCTGGTAAAACAGCTTTTCTTGAAAGCATGTGGGGTTTTTTTGTTGTTTTTTGGGGGGGGGGATACTAGGGATCAAACTCGGGACCTTGTGCTTGCGAGGCAGGCAGTGGAACCACTAAGCTAAATCCCTGGCCTGAAAGCATGTCTTCTTAATAGCATTTTCTGGCATATTTCAAAATCTTTATTTTCATCTTCTCCTTGCTGAAAGCATGAAGGGATTTTCCTCCAATTTTCACTGTGAGAACCCAGTGGAGCTCCAGGAGGCAAATTTCACAAGTGTGAGTACACTTCCCTAAGTTTGTGTTTCCTGGAATTCTCAATTCTCAGCCTTGACTGCACTGGGCCCTCATCAAGTCATCGAATAGAGTTGAGGTTCCCTACCCTGGCACTGGTTTTTGCAGGGGCTTCTGCTCTGGGTCTGTGCTACACCAGGGTATGAATTTCTGTATCCATCTGCCTGTCTCTCCAATGCTGGAAGTAGTAATTATCTCTGTGGTCAGTTATCACTGTCAACCAGGGAAGCTCCCCTAAGCTCTGGTATCCAGCGTTTTTATCGGTGGTTGACCAACAGGTATAACTGACATTCTCATGTGCCCGATTTTCAGTCTCAAACTCCTCCAGGCATCAAACTGATACCACATGGCCCAAGATCTCCACCATAAATCATACTGTTAGCATTAACTATCCGGCATGGTCCAAAGCCTTAGATAAACAAGGTCACACTTTTTCTTTTCCTGTTTTTGTTTGTTTGTTTGTTTTTCTGTACTGGGAATCAAATCCAGGGCCTTGCCCATGCTAGGCAAGCACTTTTCCTCTGAGCTATATTCCCAGCCCTTTTTATTTTGAGACAGGGTCTTGATAAATTGCCCTAGCTATGAACTTGCAATCATCTTACGTCAGTCTTCCAAGTCACTGAGATTACAGGCATGCACCTGGCTCCAACGACACTCTTATTAGGTAGGACATTCTAAGAATTTAAAGTTTATTTCCAAGGAGCCAAAGAAGGGATTAAACCTTTCTTTCAAACTTGCTGGAATAGGGCTGGGGATTTAGTTCAGTGGTTCTGCTGCCTGCCTTGCAAGCAGAAGGACCCGAGTTCAATCCCTGGTACCAAAAATAAATACATAAAAGTTGCAGGATTTGACTAACTCAGATCTGCTGAGTTTGTTTTACTGCCCATCATTCTAACAGACTAATGTAGAAAGATCACATGACCTCTTACTAAACCGCAAAAACGCACTGGATAAAACTCAACGTCTATTTATATTTTTACAATTTCTTTTTTTTTTCTTCTCGGTATCGGTACCGGGGGTCGAACATTAACACCTCGGACTTGTGAGGCAGGAGCAGAGCCACTGAGCTAAATCTTGGCCCTCTATTTATATTTTTAAAAGAGAATCTTTAGGAAAACTAGGAATAAGAGGAAACTTCATTAATTAGAAAAGCAGGCGAGGTTAGCAGGGCCCTGCCCTATGGGAAGGCAGTCATATGCCTAAGGGACACAGGTAAGAGAGGCTCATCCCTCCCGGGCCCCTCCCTAGACTTGCCCAAACCACCCACTTTCCGGCTTTCCGGGGTGCCTGTGTTAACAGGCGGCATCCCGCTCTCACCCTAATTAGTTAGATTTTTGTTTTTGTTTTTGTACCGGGGATCGAACTCGGGTCCTTGAGCTTGCGCAGCTGGCGGCTAAACCACTGAGCTGAATCCCCGCGCTCTCTCGCTCTCTCGCTCTCTC